ATTGTGATTAAGTGATTACATAGTTTCTAAGTCACAAGTTCATTCTAACTTTCCTGGAACAAATTGTCTATCACAGTCTGTAATATATAACAGTGTTCACATGTTATACACCATACATGTGATCAGCAGCGTGGGGATATTTAGTAGTGGTTCAACCAGATGAGCAGGAGTTCTTTGTTTCTTAAGTCCCTAGTGCTAATCTTGATAGGGCCTTCAAGAAGGAAGTGCCTGGCTTACAAGTTCACACCACTGTCCAGGCCTAATGCCAATCAGCGAGGGCTTAGGTAGTGGGAAGAGGGCAGTAATTTAGAATCAGGAGATCCACACGCCCCAATATGTAAAACAATCAGGGAAAAATCAGCTGGGCACAGGTGGCTTCCACCTGTAATCCTAGCTACTCAGGAGGCTGTGACCTGGAAGATCTCAACTTGAAGCCAACCCAAACTGAAAACTCTGCAAGGATCCATCTCCAGTTAACCAACAAAGAGGCATGGACTGGAGGCATGGCTCAAGTAGGCGAGGACCAGCAGTGAGCAAGGAAGTCAAGTGAGAGTACAAGGCCCTGAGTTCGAGCCCAGGTACAAGCATGAGAGAGACAGAGACAGAGTCAGAGAGAGTAACAGAGAGAGAGAGATAGAGAGAGATCTTCAATTGTCCCTTGGGTTCCAAATTCCATTACCATCTCTCTTTACTTCCCTGGATGCCCAGAGAGGGTTAGTGACTCAGCCAGGCTCACATAGGACAGATGTAGAAAGGAGATCAGAAGGGAGAGAGGATACCTACTCCTTTCCTAGGAATAGAGCATGTGCTGGGTCTTACCCACTCATGGCCTTCTGAGTTCCAGACACAGGGCTAAGGACAGAGGGTTTACTTCAGTCTCAGGACCAGGGACAAGAGCCCCCTCCCTCAGTGAAAGCAATGTGTAGGTGGACACTTGAACGGCAAGAATAGCTTTCTGGGGGAAGAAACAGGAAGTTTAGTACAAAAAAACACACACAAAAAACAGCTGATGCACTTTTCTGGGTTCCGGCCCTTTTCATATGTTAGCTCATTTAATCTTTGGCTTTTTGAAGTACTAAGATTATCCTTGCCCTTGTCAGCATGGGAAACTGAGACCCCAAGGTCAGGCAACTTGTAAGGTGACAAAAGCAAGACCTGAACCCAAGACTACAGAATTGGTGGGATCCCACCCCCCCAGCCAAACACATACCCTATTTTACTTCTCAAAGCCCCCTGGTATGGAGTGAACAGGAATGGACCCCATCTTTAGAAATCAGAAAGCAGAAATGGCAGCCCATACTCCTGCCGCAGCCAGCTCCCAGACCAGCTTGTGGCATCCTTGGAGCGGGGTTGCCTTTTTCATCATTTGGTCCCCTCTTGGGGGAGCCCCAAGTTTCCAGCTCCCTGGTTCACAGCTAACTGGGCCAACCTTATTGTAAAGGGATTTGACTTTGAGTCAACTGGAGACTGGTGAGAAAGAGCTTATGGATTAAACAGTGATCACCAGGAAGGCAGGGGCCTTAATCAGAGGGGTTCAGGTGTGGGAAGTTGGGGGGGGAGGATTTGTTGGGGAGGAGGGTGGAGTTGTGGAAGTAGGGAGAGAATGGGGTTCTGGGGGTGAGGGAGGAAAGGAGGAGCAGGAAGAACGGACTTTCTCACCTTCTCTTGTACCTTCACACACACCCCCTGGTAACAACAACAACAATAAAAGTGATCCCTCACACTTGTGTATCTGCTATTTCCCCATCCATTCTGCCACTTGGAATTCTTCCAGTGGCCTTGGGGCCGGGGTGGGGGTGGGGGATTAGTTTTTTTTCTCCCAAGGCTCCAAGAATGCAGAGAAAGTAGGTGCCCCCTCCCCAAAGCAGCAGCTCTCACCCCATGCCTGGGGGAAGGAGAACAGCCTCTATCCACTTAGTTGGGAGAAGCCTTTGTGCAAGAGCCACTAGAGCTTTCCAGAGAGTTCCATCAGCCCCGGCCCTGTGGAAGTAGAGTGTTCTACAAATATTTGTTGAAGCGTTTAAGTCTGTTCTGATTCTCGAGGACGTGTGCCAAGCCCTGTCAGTGCCACCCCCACTCACAGTGGCATCGGCAGATCTGAGGTCAGGCCACCAGCGGGAGGGACTCAGGGTGGCCCAGAGAGGACATGCAAACACCCCAGGGGGGTCCCCAGACATGCTGGTGTCTGAAGAGCCACACAGCACAATTAACTCAAGGACACAATGTAAAGGCACAACAATCTTAGTTCAGTGCCTGGAGGTGCCTTCTAGAAGAATCTAAACCCCAGCGACCT